ATGATTTTTGAGCTTACTTAGGAGCCTTTGATGAGGAACTTTATCAAAAGCTTTCTGGAAGTCAAGGTAAATAATATCTATTGGATCCCCCTTGTCCACATGTTTGTTCACCCCCTCAAAGAACACTAACAGGTTAGTGAGACAAGATCTTCCCTTACAGAAACCGTGCTGAGTCTGCCTCAATAGGTTTTGTTCATCTATGTGCCTACTAATTCTTTCCTTAATAATGGTTTCCACCAATTTACCCGGTATCGACGTCAGACTGACTGGCCTGTAATTTCCCGGATCTCCTCTGGAACCCTTTTTAAAGATGGGAGTGACATTAGCTACCTTCCAATCCTCAGGAATGGAGGCAGATTTTAAGGAAAGATTACATATCTTTGTCAGGAGATCTACAAGTTCACATTTGAGTTCTTTCAGAACTCTCGGATGTATGCCATCTGGGCCTGGTGATTTTTCAGTTTTTAAGTTGTCTATCAGTTTTAGGACCTCCTCTCTCATCACCTCAATCTGACTCAGGTCTTCCAACACCCCTCCTGAAATCAGTGGTTCTGGAGTGGGCAAGCACTTCTCATCTTCCACAGTGAAGACGGAGGCAAAAAATGCATTTAGCTTCTCAGCCATTTCCCTATCATCCTTCAATACTCCTTTTACCCCTTGGTCGTCCAAGGGCCCCACTGCCTCCCTGGCTGGTTTCCTGTTTCTAATGTATTTGAAGAAAGTTTTATTGTTGGTTTTTACGTTTTTTGCTATATGCTCCTCATATTCCCTTTTTGCCTGCCTGACCTCAGACTTGCATTTTATTTGCCATAGCCTGTGTTCCGTTTTATCAGCCTCACTGTGACTAGCTTTCCACTGCTTAAAGGAATTCTTTTTACTTTTTACAGCCTCCATTACTCTGTTTGTTAACCATGCAGGCTTTTTCCTATACCTGTTTGTGCCTTTCCTAACCTGCGGAATATATATTTTTTGAGCTTCTAGGATCGTAGTTTTAAATAGATCCCAAGCTTCCCCAATTGTTTTGACCCTTTCTACTTTTCCTTTCAGTTTCCTCCCCACGTGTCCCCTCATATCAGAGAAATTACCCCTTTTAAAGTTAAAAATGGTTGTGTGAGTCTTTTTGGCCAATTCTCTATTTGTACAAATGATGAACTCAACAACATTATGATCACTGTTTCCAAGTGGTGCAATCACTTTTACATCTCTCACCAGGTCACCAGGACTTGCATTGCCCCCCCCCATTTCATGCCCCCCAACAACCCTGTGAAGCAGGTTAAGTTGTGAGTGTGTGACCAGCCCAGCAAGCTTTCGTGACAGAGGGAGGATTCGGACCTGGGTCTCTCAGATACTAGCACTACCCCGCCCTGTCTTAAAATCAAATGGTGAAAAATGGATCTAGGTTTATGCAAGTGGATTAGACGCGGAAGCGCTTTTCTTTTGCTTGGATCCGACAGAGGGGCACTTAACTGTGGATGGAAGGATTTCTGCATGTGGGGTGGGACTTCCCCACCTCTGAGAAAGCCCACGGTGCTGCCCCACATGCGGTTCTGGGGGTGAGGTTCCCCCCCGGCCCCGTTTACCTTCCTAGGAATTTTCCTTGTCCATTTTGCCGAAAATGACACCTCAGTTTTGTTTTTCAGGACACCTAATTTGGGGAGGGTATAGTATAGATTAGGGCCGCGGTGGCTCAGAGGTTAAGACACTGAGCTGCAGACCGGAAGGTCGGTAGTTCAGCAGTTCGAGACCCGAGTGCCGCGTAACAGAGTGAGCTCCTGTCTCTGGCCCCAGCACCTGCCAACCTAGCAGTTCGAAAGCAGTTCGAAAGCAGTTCGAAAGCAGGAAATTGCAAGTAGATAAATAGGTACAACTTCAGTGGGAAGGTAACAGTGCTCCGTGCGCCTCGGCATCTAGTCACGCCAGCCACATAACCCCGGAGAAGTCTTCGGACAGCGCTGGCTCTCCAGCTTGGAAACGGAGATGAGCACCACCCCCTCGAGTTGGATTCGACTAGCTGTCGAGCAAGAGGAAACCTATAGTATAGAATATTTGAGGGAGACAGAAAGACTGCTCATCAGTTTCATTAATAACCATCCTGTTCAAACTTTGATTTTGGGAGATAAAAGTAAGAAGTCCCATTAATTAATGAGTCTAGCCACCGTATAGTAACATGTATCTCTAGGAAAGGTGCACTCCAGTGTCCAGACACCTGACTTACAGTCTTCTGGAACGCAAACGGTTCGGAAGTTGGGGATTCCCCGTATTCCTGTTCAGAATGGGATGGGTGGGAACCTGGGGGCTGCGAGGGGGCATCCTTGACTTCTGCCCAGAGCCCCAGAATAATTTAAGACCAGCCCAGCTGCTTCGGCACCGGTGGGTTCCCTTTGGTCACCAGGGCTAGTAGCCATTTATGGGCCTCTTCGCTAAGAATCGTATCTTTTTGAAGCTATCCATGCTTCTGGCTATTGTACCTCCAGTGGCAGTGAGTTCCACAGTTTGATCACTCATTGAGTAAAGATTTCCTTTTGTCTGTCCTGAATCTGTTACCCATCAACTTCTGAGTTCTAGTATTTCTCACAAGACAAGAACTCGTGGGCAGTCCATGAAATTGCTGAGCAGTCGGGTTAGAACGGATAAGAGGAAGTATTTCTTCACCCAGAGAGTGATTAACACTTGGAATTCACTGCCACAGGAAGTGGTGGCAGCTACAAGCATGGACGGCTTCAAAAGGGAATTAGATAAGCATATGGAGCAGAGGTCCATCAGTGGCTATCAGCCATAAGGTATAGATAGGGGCTCTGGGGCAAGCGATGCTCTGTATTCTTGGTGCTTGGGAGGGCTTCTAGTGTCCTGGCCCCACTGCTGGGTGGACCTCCTGATGGCACTGGTATTTCTGGCCACTGTGTGACACAGAAGAGTGTCGGACTGGAGGGGCCTTTGGCCTGATCCAACATTGGCGTCTCTCTTATGTTCTTATGTTCTTATTATGGGAGAGGGAGGAAAAGCTCATCTTGGTTGCCTTCTCTTGTGCTGTCTCCAGCTTGCAATATTCTTCTTTGAGATACACTGTCCAGAACTGCACACATTATTCCAAATGAGGCTACACCATAGACCTGTACAGGGGCGTTATGATCCTGGATGTTTTATTTTCGGTCCCTTTCCTAATAATCTCTAGCACAGAGCTTGCGTCTCTCGCTGTCGTGGTGCACGGCGTCAACATGTTCATTGATGTGGCCACTGCAACCTCAAGGTCTCTTTGTCTCTCAGGGCCAAACGAAATGTGATGGCGTCCTCTTCGTGGCCACCGTAAGGATGCCGCCACCCTTTAAAGATTATTTTAAAATGTTGGAAGGGACCGGCCATGATCGGCCCTGCAGTGTGGCACTGTCTTTCCCCCTGTCCCTTTTCACATGCTGGAAAAGCCAAGGGGGTGTTCTGGCGCTCGATAAGAGCTGTGGGGGGTGGGGCACCACGCTGCAAGCCTTGCAGTGTTGTCAGATCGCTTTCAAATGGCGCCGGTGTCCTTATGGCAGCAGCAAGGGCCCCGTCGGGAGTCCACGCGTCAGGTGTGTTCCAGCGCGCATCACCTCACACCTCCCCTCCCCGCACTGTTGCCCGGTCACCCCCTGTGCAGAGGGGTCCTCCTGTAGTGCTTCACAGCCTTTGCCTTTTAGTCCTCGTGGTCCTGAATTAGTTTGGCGTCATTTGCAGACCTGTTCCTCCTCGCTCTCCTCCCCCCCCACCCCGTTTCAGTCATATGGACGAATGGCAGAGCACCGAGGAGGAGGAGCCCAGTCGTGCTGATCCTCGTGGGACCCCACCGCTCACTCACTCCCCCCCCCCATGGGGAGAACGGCCCCTTTGTTCCTGCTCTCGGCTTCCTGCCCCTTAACCAGTCTTTGAATCCCTAACATTTAATATGAGCCTTTTAACCAGTGATGCTGAGCTGGGGTTCGGTGGGGTTGCCTCAGCTGAGCCCTTTTGGCCTCCTTGAGTTTTGGGCAGGGCTCTTCGCCAGCAGGGAGTCTGGAAACGTAGGAGCTCCTGTGGGTGCTTGGAAACAACGGCCTGCCCTGCTCCCCGAGGGGTGGGGTGGGGGCCCTGTAAGCGGCCCTGTCCAGGCAAGTCCGGAGGCGATGTGTGTGTGTGTGTGTGTGTGTTCTGTTCCCTTCCCTCCGTTTTGTCCTCATGAGCCCACCTTGTAAGGTCGGTGAGGCTGAGGGCGAGAGTCAGTGGAAGGAGGCCACTGACTAGATTTCCAGGCAAGGAGGCCTTTGAACTCAGATCTGCACCACCAGCTTTTCAGAAGGGAGTTGCATTCTGGAAAGATCAATTTGACCAGGGCTCTGTGGTGAGTTTCAGTGTCGAAATTCTGCCCCGGAACCTCAGGCGCTGTCATGCTGGTGTGCACGTGACTTTGGGGGGGGGGGTGCGTTCTGCCTCTCCAGAGGGCTGCCTGAGGCAGCTTGCAAATAAAAATGTTACAAATGATCAATAGAAAAACAGACATGTCTCTGAGCACGCGCAAATTGTTGCGGGGGAAGAGCTTCCGAAACCGAGGGCTGCTCAGCTTCTAAGTGCTCTCGGGCCTTCACCAGGCCTTTGTTGGTAGAATGGCTCCCGCACCCTAGCATGCGGCGGTGGGGGGGGGGCACTGGGGGGGGAATGGGTCCTTTTCTGCTCACGGTCCCTGGGTGGTGTTCCTCATCTCACTCATCTTCCTGGCCCCTTCCCTCCGTGTGCTTCCGGGGGAGAAAGTGTGCAACGGCCACTCCGAAGCCTGCATCTTTCCTTGCAGTCTTCAGGAGTATTCAGGGGGGGGGGGCGGCGGTGGCAGGAGAATGGCACCAGACCGCCTGTTTTGAACTGTAAAGAGCCGAGTGGGAAATCAAGTCGCAGGCCTCCCGGGGTCTGGCCTGGCTTGAGTCTGGGTCGAGTGGAAGTGGGACTCCTGGGCGGTCTCCCCTCTTGGCTGAGACGTCCCCGTGTTTTTGTCACTGCAGGCCTACTTCCGGCAGGGTGTCGCCCTCCAATTCCTGGGGCGCCATGCCGACGCCCTGGCAGCGTTCGCCTCCGGCCTGGCGCAGGACCCCAAGAGCCTGCAGCTCCTTCTGGGGATGGTGGAAGCCGCCATGAAGTCTCCCATGCGAGGTAAGAGCCCCCGCACCCAGTTTGGGACACACACACACCCGGCCTCGTGGGGTGTCGCAGGTCCCGCGGGGCCCTCCGCGGGCACCCCAGCCGCTCGCTCGCTCACTCACTCCCGGGGGGAGGAAGCTCCGCTTGTCCGGTTGGCAACGGGATGGAGGTTTGGGAAGGGCACCCTGTCCCTGCCTGCCGCCACGCTGCTGGGCACCCCGGGCTGATTATCCTTTGTGGGTGAGGGAGGTGGCCCCGCTTCTCTCGGCTGTGTCCCCACGCCCCCCCCCCGGGCTTCTGAGTGCGCCGCCGCCCTCTCTCGCCACCACTGGCCTCAGCCCCGTCCCAGGTCACCCCCTCTGTCAGCCGGGTCAGCCGCAGTCAGTGCTCGGAGGCCCCCAAGGAAGAGCGAGCGAGCGAGGGGGGGGGTTGCCACACGGCAGGAGACAAGGGCAGACCCCCCCCCCGCTCCCCTCTTGCCTGGAGCACCTCGTGGCCGGGGTCAGTGACGGCCTGGTGGCACCTTCTTCTTCTTCTTCTCTCTCTCTCTCCACTCGTTAACTGAAGTTCTTCTGTGTCATTCAGACTCCAGACCAGAGTGTGGGGGGGGAGGGTGCCGCTTTCCCTCGTCCTCCGGGCACTGGAAGGCTTCCTTCCTTCCCAGGCGTGTGTTGTGGCTGGGAGAGAGAAAAGGCCCCGCCGTCTCTTGGGCGAATTCACTCCTGAGACCCCGGGCGGGACCCACGCCTCCCAGGCTTGCCACGGGCTGGCTTCTTTGCAAGGCTAAGGGAACAGTGGCTACTTGGCGGCCTAAGTGGGCAGGCTGCAGGGGCGACAGTAGTTAGTTCATAATAATAGTCATCGTACGGCCTTGTGTGTCGTATAGCCGGGAGATCCTAGGGCTGTCTGGCAGCCTTCCGTTCTAGCTCTTTTAGCGTGGCGAGCTAGACTCATGGGGGGGGGGCTGAGGTAGCTCTGAGAGAGCTGTGACTGACGCAAGGTCACCCGGCTGGCTCCATGCGGAGGAGGAGGAGGAGGAGGAAGAGGAGGAGGAGGAGGAGGAGGAGTGGGGGAATCGAACCTGGTTCTTCCTGTGCCGAAGCAGCACTTGGTTGGGGGGGGGGAGTCACTCAGAGGCTGCATCCTCCCCCTGGCTGTTCTCCTCCAGAGGGGGCCTTCGAAAGGGTCGGACTCCCTTCCGTTGTTTGTTGGCCAGGCTTCTATTGGCTTTGGTTTTTCATATTGTTCAGTTTCCCAAACGTAACAGGGGATTCTTATTTTAATGTTCAAAATAAATCAATATTTTATCACACAGACACACCCCTCCAAGATAAAGTTCTGGGCCCGCGCTGTCCTCCCGCCCCCCCCCGGCCCCAGCAGTAGAAGAGGACCTGCCTCCATCCCTTTGGCCTCCTCGCCCTCCCCGCTGCCCGGATGCAGCCGAGCGCTGAACTGGGGCCCAGGAGGTGGCGGCGGGCCTTCCCGCAGACTGAGTGGGCGCCAGCGGAGGTCCCAGGGGCGGCACACCCACTGCAGCTGCCAGCACGTCCCCCCGCCCGCTTGGAAGCGCCGCTGCTTTACAGAGCACGGGCCACAGCGACGCTGTCCAGAGAGAGCGGGGAGGTGAAACGGGTTCCCCCGGGCGGGGTCTGGACAAGGGCGCGGAGCCTGGGGGTCCCCGGGAACGACCGTTTAGGGCGAGTTCCTCCGTCCCCAGATCTCCAGGCGCTCCCGAACCTGGAGCCAGCCGGGATCTGGCACACCCCCCCCCGGGCTAAAAGCGCGGTGGGTAAACGGGGAAGGCGTTCTGTGCTGAGGGCAGGAGTCCCGAGACAGGCGAGGGACACAGCGGGGAATAGTCAGCTGGCAGCAGGGCTCCCTCTGAGCTGAGTGAGTGTGAGCCAGCTCACAGTGTGTTAGCCTCCGACTCACACACTTTTGTCTTCACTCAGGAAGGAGGGCTCCAGGGTGAACTAATTTACGCAGTAGCCCAGGTGCTTGGTCACAGCTTTCATGCCAGTAGCTCCAGTGGCGGCAGCCGGGGTGGGGGTGGGGGCTCACAGTGCTGAATTTAGTGCAGAGGCCGGCTCTGCCACCCGCCGGAGAGGGCCAGAAGCGCTGACTCCTGCTTCCTGTTGCGTGCCCGGCCTAGGGGGACCCCAGCGAGGGGCCTGGCTCCCGAGGTCAGTGGCTAAGGAGAGGCAGCTGGCCAGCACCTTCCTCTGCAGAGCCCCCTCTGTGGAGGTCTCCCTTCCAAGCGTGGGCCCTGCTGAGCGTCCAGAGGGTCTGGTGAGATCGGGCTACACCAGGCCGCCTCCCTCCCCTCCCCTCCCCTCCCCTCCCCGCTGCTTCCTATGAGTGGGTCTGAATTGTTGCAAAGTGGAGGATGACGTGTCACCAGGGGAAGCGGAAGTCCAAATAGGATCACAGGGAAGAAGAGGAGGAGGCGGATGGGCACCAGGTGAGCTGGCTGAATTGCCTGATTCAAAAAGGCCAGAGTGTGCAGATACCAAAAACCACTGTGGTAAAATTAACAAAGACACATTTAATAATTCTGTAAGCATCAATTTGTGAAGCCATTAATCTTACACTAGAGTTAGAGAATTCGATGGCCTCTTCTGGGCTTACGACTGAATCGCTAGGTAAGTGGGCATGGTGAAGGAGATGGTGGCCTCTGGGGTCCTTCGCTTGTGGCCATGCGCGTGAGGAGCCCTGGAGGGCCAGAGAAAGAACCCTTGATAACTGCTCTCTGGAATGTTCGGGCAGCCGGGCTCCTGGCGCTCCAGACTGCCTGGGGAGATCCCTGTCTTGACCAAGAGACTCTGCTTTAAAATCCAACTGGATGGATTTCCCCGTATCTCTGGGATCTGAATGCCAACGGATTTTGGAGTGCAAATGCACATGGTTCCCGGAGGGGCGGGAGAGCACTCAGAGAGCAACAATGGGG